GAAATCTAAACATACAGCAGGAGCTGTTATAGACTGATTTTAGTTAAAGAGTCATGGTTTGGAAGGGCCTAGTCTAGCGGTTCACAAAGTGAGGAAACTATCCCTGTGGGATAGTTGCAGAGTAGATGTGACCCGTATAAATGATCAATTTTGAAAGGATTGCAATGATAAATTCTGTTACACTGTAAAACAAACAGTTAATATCAAAATAATTTTGATTGTGATTTAATGAAGGTTATGGATAATTTTGCTGCTTTACTGCAGTTTCCTGTCAAAAAGATTGGTTGGAGGGGGGCGCTGGCCTAATCAAAGTTCAGAGCAATATCCATCTGAATCTTTTTTTTAGCAATACTGCCCTACAAAGGTAAAAGGCAGTGACTGTGCAGAGCTGGGCATGAACCCTGAATGACTTTAAAGTCATCATGTCGTCCAGCCTAATTAGTTGTAGCTAGATTACTGTATAATTTTCTCCAAAACGACACACATTCGATATAAGATAGTTAGTCATGATATTCATTGAATATCATGAAAATGATAAAAACTCATTTTAGACCAGAAATGCAGTTACTGTCTTTTTGCCTTGATGGCTAGAATGCGTCAGCTAAGTTACAAAGAAGCGTAGAAAAAAAAAAAAAACTCATCTTAAAACCTCTAAAAAACATGTAGATGGAACTGAAAAGTACTCTGAGTTGTTCCACCCTACAAAAACCCAGTGAAATTAAAGGTATAGTGGAGGATGTTCTTTTTCCGGGTGGATCATCAAAATAACTGGTCCTCCTAAATTTTAATCATTCTGGTGATGTTTACATTAGGCCGTCCTAGAGTGTGCACGAGGAGAAATGGGCTTGTGCACGTTTAATAAGCGTTCCCTCTTAGGAGTGGGTACAGGGTTGTGCATGTGCATTTTTTTTTCTTTTTTTTAAGTGAAGAGGGTGGGTCTTTTCAGAAATTCACAAAAATCCTCCACTGTACCTTTAATTTAGGGTTATGATTGCAATGTGAATTATTCATGTGAAGATGTAAAGGTTTTAATAAATTAGGGTTATCATTTCCAAAGGTCAGATGTCAGTAAATTTTCGTTTCCTGAATCCAGGCACAGAGAGGAAACCCCTTTGACCGCCTTAACGGCGTTACAGTAGTCCTGCTCTTTCTTTGGTTCATCGTCCTCTACTACGGTGAGAGAGATTACGTCACTTTCTAAATCGTCTGCGTTTGTTCTTTGTTTTTACACCATCGAACTGACGTCAGCCTTCTGTCTCCGCCAGCCTACAACTACTCTGTGGAAAACCAGACGCTGATGGACGCGTTGGACAGGCAGCAGAGTCGAGTGCATCACATTTATTCCACCATAGCAGGTGATCCTCTGCCTACGTACGGTCAGAAACGGAGCATTAGGTTTGATTCCAAAGATGAGTTTGGTCCTGCAAAGACTAATAAGGAAACGGGTCTTTGTGTTCATTAAAGAGGGAATTTTAGACCAATAGATCACATCTATAGCTTCTACTATCTAACATCTAAACATCCTCAGCTGTGTTAAAGTTAACGTTTCAACCCTGATGATATAACCTCAGATTAAAGTACATTGGTTGTTATCAGCAATCCTGGAATCATCAAGGCTCACACTAATCAGAAACTGGTCATCAACAGTTGGACATGATTGACACTTGATTGAACGTAGCTTTTGTCTACAAGGATGTCAAAAAGATTGAGCTATTTGGTGTCTATAATAAAAATGTTTGTGGTGATCAGCCTAGAAAGCTATGATAGTTTCTGAGATGCATTTCCACCAAAGCAACCATCATTCCTGAACCTGTTCGCTTTAAAGGTATAGAGGATGATCTTTTATTTTCAGGTGGATCATCTAAATAAGTGGTCCTCCTAATTGTCAATCATTCTGGTTATATGTTTACCTAAGGCCGTCCTTTGTGATCATCTCCAGTTAGCATTCTTTTTCTGCGCATGTGCACTTTCAGGCGTATATCTGTGGTGAGCTACGGTTTCAGACAGTCATTGAAGCTAACGGGCAGAGAAAAAGTGTATGAGAAGAAAAGAAAGGCCTCAGGGGAGGCAGGTATATCCTGGAATGATTTGTGTGTAGATCTCTTCTTGCAAAGCATTATGGGATTTGCTATCACAGCAGCAACTAATAACAAAGATGGCGCAGGCACCGCGCAGAGTAGACGGAGTTACGTGACCAACAGGGAGCAAAAAGTAGTTATCTGTCCGAACGGGAAGTTTGCTATAAAGTCTCCGCTCTATATAGTGATTGAGGGATTTAGGGGTTAGGGTGGATGTTCAGACACAGTAAGCTTGTATGAGCTATGAGAACAGCAACTTTTAAACAGTGCACAAGGAGAAATGGGCTCCTGCATGCTCTCGCACGTGTTTAGTAGGCGTTCCCTCTCAGGAGCGGGTACAGGGCATGTGTTTTTTGTTTTTTAGTGTAGAGGGCGGGTCTTTTTCTAAAAAATTCGCAAAAATCCTCCATGATACTTTTAAGGATCCTTCTGAGCATGCACCATAAACCAAGAGCATTACACAACAGGAATCCAAAGCATTTCTGAAGGCAATTCTGCATGTGCAGATGTCCCTTATAATTCACAGAGCCCCTTCAAAAATACAGTTAATACAGAAGAGGCGGCAGCGCCTCCATTTTTTCATATTGATATTTCTCATCGTCTTGAATGTGTCATAAATGATTACACAATGTGTGCGTAGTTTGGCATGTTAACACATACTGGACCGCTACAGATCACAGTACGATCTTCATCTTTGCTGCAATACCAGCTGTTTCTACTGTATCTAAATTTGACCAGTCCAATGGTGACATCACAGTCTGAGCAGAAACATATCAGCATTTTGCTCAACTTGAACCATAGATCCCTCTTTTCTTCTTCACTGGTTAAAAATCATATTTATGGACACTCTCACTACCTTCAGATGTTTCTGCCTTGATTAGGGCTATGAAACTCTAGTCCACAAGGGGGCAGTGTCCTGTAACCTTAAGATACTCATGTCCAACAGAAGTGAATCAAGCAAATTTGATACCTGCCAGCTAGAAGTGTGAAACTTGGACAGGGTCAAAGGGTTCCTCTAATTATACAATGAACTTTCAGCCAGATTCTGAAAATTGATTTAAGGAGCAATAATTTCTTGAAAGGTTGGGATGCAATTTTTCAATTAAACTGTTATTTTGATTTTAAATTATGCATAATCTTAGCTGGAGGAAAAAAACAACAACTAACAAACCACAACCTGAGATGTGTTTGCAATGAACCCAAAGTAGAGGGGCAATCATTTAAGGCATTAAAACTGTGAAATATTTGTTCACTTATCTCAGGTCTTCTCATTAAATCAAGATGCTTCTGTATTTTCCTAATATCACGGAGGTCACAAACTCCTCCAGTTCTGCCAAAAAACTAAAGTGATCTACTGTCCAAGCTACAAATAGTGTAGTTAAGGTGCAACTTACTGTAATGTGAATGAGAATAACCCTGTTTGCCTCAGATAATCTTCAGTATATTCTAATTTGGTCTTCTAATTCTTAGGAATCTGTGCTCAGTGGGGAAAAGGAAAAGCAATTTAAAGCATCATTAAAGGTCCAAAATTAATTTGACATGCATGATATTAGGTGTTTGACCGATAAAGAACACCAGTATATCAAAAGACACGATGGCACTCTTGTCCTGTGCAGTTATCAGTCCCTGTATCAATTTCTGAAACTTAAATAAAAACTAAAAAAACACACCAAAATTTTTATTCAGTAAGTCAATATCGCCCGATACCAATAAGCTAACTGATAATACTGTGAGTTCCTACCATGCATGTTTTCAAACCCTGTAGCTGTTAATTTGAAATGTCCTTCTTCCTGCATAGAACATATGGTTGATCATCCTCTGAAGAGCCACAGAGCTTCACATCCTGAGGATGGAGGTATGAAGATGTCCCTCTTAAAAGTTTGCGTGGATCTGGGAGAGCGTGTTGTCCTTCAGTGTGTCACCTTCTCTTTCAGGGATCTTCATGTGGGACATGGACACTGCCAGTCGTCTCCTTGGATTTTCTGCCGACCTCCGGACAGCGGAGAGAGTGAAAGCAGCGCTGCATTATCCCCCCAGCGACAGTCGCTTCGACGAAGCCCCGCAGGTCCTCTCCACGCCGTGCTTCTCCTCCGGGGCTCACTTCTGGGAGGTGGAGGCCGAGGGCTGCTGGGACATCGCCCTGTCCTACAGGAGCGTCCGGCGAAAGGCTGGAGACAACAGCACGTTCGGACACAACGCAGAGTCCTGGAGCCTCGGCTACAGCGGTCAGGGGGGACTTTATGCCTTCCACGATAAAGAGAGAACCGCCGTGGCGGGATCGCTGCAGAGCAGCAGAATAACGGTGGAGGTGAACTTTGAGGAGGGCAGAATCAGCTTCAGCACGGTGGGTTCCATAAAGACACTGCTGCACCAGTTCAAGGCAGAGCTGAAGGAGCCGGTTTGTTTAGGTTTGGGTCTTTATCATGTAGATCCACCCAGCAGAGCCTCTGTAGTGAAGTTTTTATGAACAATCCTCCACCATGCATCCAGACTACCGAGAGGCCTTGCACTTACTTTTAAGCTCAGGAGATGTTTAATTAAAGTGTTTTATTATGTATATCAACTAAATAGGTTATTTTTCAAAGGGGTTGATTTATATTAATGTCAATATATCAAAACTTTCTTCAGTGTCATGACAAAGTAGTTTTTCATACTGATAAAATTCCCTACCTCATATTTAGGGTTCTTGTTTTTCAATCCTACATGCTGTTGTGTTAAATCAGTAATGTAAAGAAATGTCAAACTAAAATCCTTCTAAGGAGGCATGAAGCGTTCAGATTAAATCTCAGGAACTGAAGAGAAAAGCTTTCGATTTGGAGGCACCTTAGGGAAATGGGGAAACTGCAGAAACCAGGATCTTCCTATTTTTTCTTTATTAAAAAAAAAATAAACATTTGAACATTGAAGAACTGAACTGCCTGATTAAAAATTACACTTATAAAAAAAGCCGTTAAAAACAAAACTCACACACACAAATGAAGTCATTTTTTGTTCGGATCTATTGTTACTGGAAACATTTCTCAGCTGTAAAAAAAAAAAAGTAAATTTACAGTTCCTTTTTTAACGTAACTAGCTGCCTTTAGAACGTCCTTTGAGGTTAACATGAGAGGAATGAAGGCCTCCTGTTCTGGATCGGTTTCACTGATGAATGTCTTTTCCTCAAAAGTGTTAAAGTACAATTTACACACAAAGAAGTGACAAATATTGTCACTTCACTCTGTTTAAGTCTTTTTTTTTAAACCTATATTTAAAAAAAAACAACAGAAAACTGATTTCCCAGCTGTGTCTGTATGATGCTCACTTCACAGTCCCCAGGTTCTGGTTCCGGATGGAGCACCACGCTTTGAAGACATCCCTGCAAAAACAGCACATCTGTCAGAAAATGCTTTCTAATGGCTGTAAAGAAAAACAAACAGGAGGGAAGGCCTGCACACCTGCAGTGAGTGGCCACGCATTCATTACTGCAGTACTCCTTGTCCCAGTCCTTGCTGTCCACTGCCGGGTTGGTGCAGCCCGCTCTCACACAGATGCTCTTCACGGAGGCATCACCAGTGGACGCACTCACCTCCATCACATCCTGGAAATAAGAGCCAAACATTAGCGGCAGCTGAGTCTGATCCGTTTACACAAGGCTGCAAAAACTAATTTAAAGAGGTAGAGATTAAGGGTGTGCAAAATAATGGTCATGACAATGCATCGCGATTCTAATTTTTGTGATCTACTGCATCGATTCTGTTTTGAAGTTTTAAAACCATTCAGCCTCAGTCGGTTGCAGCCAGAAGCCAATATTTGAGGCTACATGGAAACCTAACTTGGCTTAAAGGAATAGTACACCCAAAACATGATTAGCCTTCATTTTCTACTCACCCCCATGCTGAACAACACTCTGGAGTACTTTTTTGATATCTCAAATGCATCTGGAGATCTGGGAGGCATTCAGCGTCTGCTCTGCCGATAATGCAAGCGTAGA